AATCTAAACTTCACAACCCTTCAAATTACATAGGTTCAAGGTAGAAAAAGTTGTGAAGGGTGTATTTATTAATTTTGTAGTCTATTTTTTCAAAAAGGTTACTTTTGTAGGGCAGTTTTGTAAATATTACTACAAAACAAATGGTACTTTTGTCATCTCCATAAGGGGTAAAGTTAAAATTTTAACTAAAGGACAAAGGTACTCTACAATACAGTTCCACGACACCAACTTTTAAAATGCTATTGTACTTTTATGAAAATTTCAGATTTGCCCTTGTTTGATGGTAAAGTTACATATTTAAATAATTTTTTAATAAAAAAGTAATCATTGTTTTAATAAATGTAACCATCACAACTCCTTCTAACTTGAACCTTTGTATTTTGTATTTTGAGAGACGGTTAACTCTAGACAAACCCTCTATATATATAGGGAAATGATTTCACGCAACTGTTGTATGGTAATATGATGCGTTGACCTTAAAAAACTATCTTATGGCCATTCGTCTGATTCAAAATTTGAAATGTACACTCTTTTCATTCTAATGAACAATAAAAAAAAAAATTGAAAATACAACCTACAAAGTATTTTTTAAACCCAATTAGCATAGGCAGTTCATTTTTGTGCAATACTTAGATCTAGGCCTTAAAACGATTTTTTCATTTCCAATTTTTTTGGATGGCTTTATTATCATTAGAAGAACATTGTTAAAAAAAGAAAAAAATGATTTTGAGTGTATAAAGACTAAGATCTTGAGTCTATAAAGACTAAGATCTTGAAATTCACAAAATGAATGGTCTAGATTCATTTTTGGAGGAGACTCATTTTGACCATATATAGGGGTTCAAATTGATTTTTTTTTTTTTTGATTGATTATTGAGATGAAGAGAGTGTGTGTGCAAAATTTGGAGTCATACAAATACCACAAACATGGTTTTTTAGAAGTGTCGTTTCATTATACTATAATACAACTGTTGCATTTGATCATTGCTCAATAGGACCCTCTCCCACCCATGGGTGTACGACCCTAAAGGATCACCATTAAAGTTGGCATTGATATCTAGAAAAATTATCACATGGGTGTGGGACTTGACTTTTTTGTAGATCCGTGTCAAATTTAATGGTGATCCTTTGGGGTCCTACAAACATGGGTGTGGGAAGGTCCTATATGATCATTTCTCATATATATATATATATAGGGTTTTGTTAGGCTACACCACTAGGTGGTCTATACCCTTGAAAGTCTTTAACATATTTTGACACTCAGATACTATTATCCTATAGTGTAGGAACTTTTTGTCTCGGGGTATTAGTTAGTCAATGGTAAAGTAAAAATTCTTAACAAAAACAAAAGTATTTATTAATAATAGTGGAGAGCGGTGTCACCCACATAGTGTGTGACATCATCCACAAGATACATTAATTGTCTTTTAACTACTAATACATATATGAGAAAATTTTATATACTTCCCCTTACAACAAAGAAGTTCTTTCATCCCCCTACCATCCAACCGTCCAATTTTGATCAAGAGAGCCACGTACCGGTTGATCTTACATCCGACGTCTCAAAGAATTTTATATTTAGTTTTTTTTTATACAAATTGGAGGACTATAAAATTTGGTACGTGCCATCTTCTCATTGGGGCACACCTATAAAAAATAATTATTTGATAAAATATAATGACCAAAATACCCCTTGAAACTTTTAGGGGTATTTTAGTCATTTTGTTTATTGAAAATATTATTTTTATATTTTTTGCTAGTGCAAGTTTAATAGAGGATTGGACGCCCAGAATTTGGTATCAAAATAGTTTATAGAAAAAAAATTAAAAATAAAATAGTGTAGAGACGTGACAATGTGATTGGGGCAATCTTAGCCCTCCATTCAGAATGGAGGGTTGGATAAGGGGAGGATAGAACTTCTATACTACAGGGGAAGCATAGAAGTGACAACAAAATATTTCCAATAAAATAAAATGATAAAAATACCCCTGAAAGTTTAAAGGGGTATTTTGGTAATTATATTTTATTGAAAATTTATTTTTAATATTTTTTATAGGTGCGCCCCAATGAGAAGATGGCACGTACCAAATTTCATATTCATACAATTTGTATATAAAAAAACTAAAAATAAAATACTTTGAGATGTCGGATCTAAGATCAAACAATGAGTGCCTCTCTTGATCAAAATTGGACGGCTGGATGGTAAGAGAAGCATAGATCTTCTCTGCTGTAGAAAAAGTATAGAAACCTCTCCCATATATATTTGAACATTAGAATATGCAGTAGGTAAAAAACCTACACCAATCTCTGCATTACCCAATGAATAGCACGAACTAGAGATTGTCATATACACAGTATAAAAGTCATAAGATGTTAGGAGTGATGGCGATGATTCCCCGTCAGCTACCACACCTAATCAACAGATTCCATTGTGATGAGAAAATCCAGACCGTCCGTTGAGGATAGGCATCCCCTCAACAAACAAAATGGTTTGAAAATGATTAAATAAATCAAGGAAAGTATTTGGCAAGTAGGCTGATCTTGCGCCCGGTCTGGCTTTCAGGTATTTAGGGCTAAAACACCCTTGCTTTTCGAAATCAGAAGCTCCAAAAATGGAGTAGATTTCAGAATCTTTGAAAATTGAAAATTAACAGTATAAAAAGATAAACGATAAATCCATTTCTGTCTCAGGCCCATAAGTTTGGAGCTCCAAAAATAGTGTAGATCTTAAAATTTTTCTTTTATTTATTTATCCTCTTTTTGTTTCAGATTCATAATTATGGTGATATAGATGAAAGACCTCCGCAATTTTGAATCCTTGAAGTAACAGGTGCCTCCCTAGACACACCGAAACCCTACCAATAAAATAATGCACATACCAATAAAATAATACACAATATCCATTGCTGGCCAACACAAGATATTTAGCATGTGGACATGTCAAGTACTTAAGATAAGGGAAGAATGTAAGATAGATTCCTCCATTGAACTAAGTTTCACACTAAACAACAGTTGGTCAATCCACCCCTATCTTCTTCTCTATCTAAAATGAGTTGTTTAATCAAGTAATAGCCTAATTAGATAATCAACAAGAAAGAACTTCCTCTAAACCCTATGTTGAAAGCTACCCATGGTTTTACAACAATTGATTTCCTTATAATTTACAAAAAATGTTCCTTTCAAAGACCTCTATTCATGTGGATTCCCTAGATTTCCCCCAAGAGATATGAATCAATGTTTTTGGATTATTTCCATGAGCATGACTCTTCTATCACAGCTTTCCTCTTGCCTCTTAGGAAGCCAAACACATAGCCTTCTTAGCTTAATTATTCATTTATTTAATCTTTTTTCTTTGTTTTGTTTGCCCATTGGAATCATGTGGGGGCCGGCCCACCATTGGCGTGCTCGATATGTAAAAAAAAGAAAGAAATAAAATGTCAATATCTTTATTTTTACTATATATTTTTTACAGCATGAAACAAAATATGCAAAAAGACAAATTTTTGATGGATACCTAATTTTAGAGAAGAATCAACTTTGGTCATTATCTAGTCCAAGGGCCAAGGTATAACAACCATCACTTCAAAATTACGATCTTTTGGAAGATATCAACAGTGGTAAAAAGCACAAATGCATTGTCATTTGTCAAAGCACATAGAAGCCTCAGTGGTCATGATGGTTTGATTCATCTTGACCGTCCACTCCAATAGATATCCCAATCAAGCAAAGCATGGAGTGGACCCACACTTGATAGTGGGTGGGATCCGCTCTTAGATTTGTCCGTATGAAGAAATGGATGGTCTAGATGTACCAAGGACATAGATTCGTCCGTTTGAATGAATGGATGGTCTAGATGCCCAAAGGACATGGAAAGCCAAGCACTGTCACATAAAATTATACTTTTGTTCTCTAATTTCTCTCCAGTTAGCATGAGCTGTTCTATACACTGGTTGGAGCTTTTCTCTCAAGCGGATAATGTCACTGGCCTAGGATCAATATAGGCAGGACAGGTTAAAGGGAAAGGGGTGATTTGAATGGCCGAGAATGACTGACAATTGAACCAACATTTTTTGTGCACAACTGCACATCTATCTTCTTCTTTCTTTTTTATTTGGAGTGCCTAGTTGAATCCAACATGTGTTCAAGATTTGGGTTCATCATGACCCCACATTTTCTAAAAATGATACAAATACAATCGTTCATTTGTGTCTCCTTCAATCTGCGCCATCCAGCATACACTGCTACCTGTGCAAGCACACACCACAGGAGAGGGAAATCATATGAGCTTCTAAAGAGCAAACTCACTTGGGATTTCTTTTTGTTCCATAACTATATCATGAAATTTAAACCTTTTGCTTATCAACTGGAATAAGAAAACAAATTCTCCCATGTATCATAAACAATAGAAGGCAGCATTCCTCTGTTGTACCTATGGAAAATTTACAAAAAAACAAATGATATTACAGAAAAGAACAGAGAGAGAGAAAGAGAGAGATGTATCCCGAATGTCATTATTCTTTTCATTATCTACTCATATCATCTTTTACACAGAAAGAAGACCAGGAAAGGTTCTATGGACAGTCAAAACCCATGCTCCTCAGATACACTCGGTGGATGTTTACATAAAACCTCCTTATACATAAAAAAGAGTAAAAAAACAACAAAATAAGAGAGAGAACTATAAGTATGCAAAATCTCTCTGCCCAAGCTCTTTCAACTGATGACTGAGCCCAAGCACCCCTGGGGACATGTTGATAACCCTCTATGGGTCATCAACTCCTCTGTTTCTTTATGTCATTATTCGATAATTTTTTGTTTTGAGTTAATTGGTTTCTTCATCAGATAAACCATCTTCTTCTCCCCCGCTATCTCCACCATTAACAGATGTTCGGGCTTTTCCTGGATATTGAAATGGACCTTGAGGAGAACCAGACTGTGAGGAAGCGGTTTTTTTCACGAGTTGGAAGCTTTGTGAAGAAGAACCAGAAGCAGTAGAAGAAGTTTGGTTGTATAATTTATCATGGGGAACCCAAAGGTTGCTCAAGAGAACCAATGGAGGGTTTTGCTGGTTAGAATTTGCTGAAGAAACTGACACATTTGGGCGCCTAGTATGCAATCGATACTTCTGCAATTCATAAAAATGGGGAGATTGTAAAGACAAATTTGCAAATAAAACCACCAAAATTATAACTAAAACAAAGGAAAAAGAAATTTTAATGCATAATATCCACCTGCAAATGACTTTTCACTTCATCATTTGTCAAGCCATCAACCTTCATCAGCTCTCTGATCTGCTTTGGTGTGGCCACTGTGGAACAATCCAAAGAATAAACATAAGAACAAGTTTCAAAAGCAAACTTTGGATGAATTTTCTTGCTATTTCATTGTATTCAGTTGTAAACCAGAAAACCCATTTCAACAAAACTAATAATCGATTGTAAATTAACCAACTCATTTCGGTGAATTGAATGATTCCTTCAATTAGTATCCATTTTGGTTTCTTATTTCATTCCAGCACCATATGGGTCTCTGAATTGCTTAGAACACAATGAAAATCACATTTTTTTGCTTCTTTTCCTATTTTAACTTTGATTGTTTTCTGTCTTTGCATGCATCACTTATCTACTCAGTGGTGAACCATTACAGTTCATTGAACCAGAGACCTCCATTTTACTTCTTCCTTCCATTTACTCTGTCAAATTCAACAGTCCCCACACTTAATTAATCTTCACTGTTTTCTAATCCAAATAAACTCCATTGAATCCAAGTTTCTCATTACAATTGAAGCTTTCTAGAGAAACACAGAGAAGACATCCTTGAATAATAATCTAAGAGAGGTCCTGAAAGAGAGAGCGATAGGGTTTTGACAACTTGGAGAGAGAAACAAGCACAGAGAGAGAGAGAGAGAGAGAGAGAGAGCCAGAGATGTAAAACATAGAAAGAGATTAATGAAAACTTACCCTGAGATCCACCGAGTTGTTGCAGAGCATTGACAAAGCGGCGGTGCAATTCAGGAGACCAGCACCTCCTAGCCTTCCTCTGAAGGGCAGACTGAGAAGAACCCGCATTCCCTCTGCAACTCCCTTTTGGAGACACATGCCCCAATTCCTTAATACCACCATTAGAGAGCGAAAGATCGACAATATCATTTTCTTCTTTCCTGACTAGGCCATTGCCATTCCCATTTCCATTAAGAGGAACAAAAGCTCCACCACTATTCCTATACCTGCCTATGGTATACGCCTTCTCCCCAAAATCTGTTTTCTGCAACTCCTCTGATGGAGCTTCATACTCATCGAGTTTCTGATATTGTAAGAGTGAAATAAAAATAGAGAAGTTATTACAAACTATAAAGAATCAAATACAAACTCAAAATAGAAAGGTAAGGGAAAAAACACAGACTGATAACTATTACGCCTATAATAATAAACAAGATGCTTTCTATAACCCAATTGGGAAAAGGAAACAGCAAAAATGGAAAGCATCTCTCTCTCTCTCTCTCTCTCTCTCTCTCTCTCTCTCTCTCTCTCCATTAAACATAGCAAAGGAAACGAGAAACCGACTTCAATTCTTTTGGAAAGAGAATCCAGAAATAACAGAATGAGGGAAAAAATAGAAATAGGTGTTACAAAAAACTTACTGCTTTAAAATCCATGGATCAAAAGACCGCCCATAAAAAATAAAAATAAAATTCTAGGCAGGATGAAAGGGAAAAAAAACCCAAAAAGACGAAGAAGAACAAAGGGAGCGAAACTATTTTTCCTTGAAGAAAAGAAAGCTCCCAATACCCAGAAAATAGGAAAATCCTTTATGCTTATTTTAAGAAGCCATTTGTTATTATTAATCCTTTACCTCTTTCTTCTCCTCCGAGTTATCAGAGTTATCACTCCACAGTTGTGCAGAGCTCATCCAGTTCATCTTGTCCTTGCAATCTCTCTCGGCTTTCGCTTCATTTTCTCTCTCTTCCTGTGCCTTTTTGATCGGTATAAATTCTTCAAGCACAGGGCCTCTCAATCTGCATTGCCTTGCCTGTTCCTTCAAATCATCGATTGCTATTCACCAAAACAAAATGAACAAAAAATAAGTAAAATCACAAAAACAAAGGAACAAAAAATAAATAAAATCACAAAAACAAAATCAGCAATACCGAAGAAAGAAAAATACTTAATTCCAATCCATATGTACCTTCTCATAATCCAAAAACAAAGGAAAAAAAAAAACCCAAAAGAAAAAAGCCAACAACTTTCGACCACATCCACAATTTGACAAAATGAAAAGGTAAATTCCAAAAAACCCAATACAATTCCCATCATACGAATACTTACAACTAACCAGAAACAGATAATAAATCCAAAATGAAAACAAAAACTAAAAGAAAAAAGAGTAAAGGAGAAAAAACCCATAAATATTAAGAAAAAGTAGGCAAAAAAACCCAAAAAAAGAAAAAAAAAAACCAAATCAATGAAATTTCATACTGCATAGCTAAAAAAACAAAACAATAAAAAAGAAAACCCACCATCATTCAATAGAAGCATGCAGAGAGGTAGCTCTCTTTTAAAGACATCAATCTTCCTCCTCTCCTCTTCCAAACAAGCAACAAGCTCCTCAATCCTCACAACCCTGTCCACCCCATTTCCCCCCACCTCAAGAACAGCCTTGAAAAACCGCTCATTCGCCCCAGATGGCTTCGAAAACCGCTCTTCACCCTTACAGGGCGGTTTATAATCCAAACTAAGCTCAGAAGGAGACCCCATTTCCCAATCTCCACAGATCTAATGCCCCAAGAAACCCCAATTAATAGACCCAATAGTGGTTTTGGGTTCTTAAAAAAACCAGAATAAAAGAGATACCAATCGTGGTTGTGGGGTTTCAGATGATGGTGTAAAGGATCTGTAAGAAAAAAAAACCCAGGGAATATATACACGAAAATATGAAGGGTTGCAATAAAATAGAAAGATCCTTTTTATTAGTGGATTTACGGACGGTTTTCAAGGTCGTGGCGTCGCATAATTTTGTACCTTTGTATTTTGAGAAACCACTTTTTATCACCAAAAATACCGCTTTTAATTATTGAAAAACTCCATTTTTGCACCTTTAAGTCCCCCAAAACGGTTTTTTTCTGCTAAAAAACTGCTTTTTAATGCTAAACCGGGGTTATTTCAAATGAAAAACTAAGGGTGATATGAGATTCCGATAAGGTAGAATCTCCAATAAAAATATTTAAAATCAAATTAAATTTATATTTTACTTTTATTCAATTTTTTTCCAAGATTCTTTGGAGTAGGTAGGGCTATACCGAAAAGAGGTGGATTTTTTTTTTCCTTTTTTTTTTGACCTTTTTTATGGCCTTTAGGTTTCGTGGTGTGAAATTACAAAATTGCCCTTAACATCAATTGGACGAATGTAAATGAGGGTATGAGAAAGTTGAGAACTTTTTATAAATTACCATAATGATCCTTATGGTGAGTGGTCCCATAGTGGTTGGCTTTTTCTTTGGAAGTTTTCTTCACTTCCCAATCTCCCCATTGTTGCAAATGCACTGCATGATTTAATTGCTAGTTTTGTCATTGAATTATGCTACATTCTAATGCTAATCTTTCCCACTAAAATGTACTGAATTTTTATGCTTGTTTTTCTCACCCATGTTTTTTTATGTAGGTTTTGAGCTTAGAATTTGAACCTCGAGGTCGAACGCAGAAGCACCGTACTGCAGTATGAGTTTTTTTTATTTTTCTAGGGTCATTGTAGGTAAGAATATTACAGCTAAGGTGTGAGTGTCGTCAAAATTATGTGTGCCATTGGGCTGTTGATTCCTGACAAAATAAGAAATTTTCATAAAAAGCAACGTCGCGCATTAAATTTGGCCAAAACAAAGTCGTTTCATTTCTTGGATAAACATTGAAGACCTTTTGTGACATTTGGTCTCAAAATTCAGCATGAATTTGCCAAGAATCGAAGTCGATAACCGTAAATTTTCTAAAGTTAGGTACACTTTAATTTTCTTTGCACTCCACATGGCCAAATTCCAGTATGGAATCCAAGCTTTCAGTTACCAAAACCAAAACAATGTAGTTATGCTAATCCTATAACTTTTCATGGCTCTAACTCTATCCACAATGTTCATTTTTCATTTATGCCCCGTTCGGGAAGGATGAATCCTTTCCTTGGATTTCAAAATCCAAAACTTTCTACATTTTCGATGCTTAGAATTATCAAATCCTGAAGTTTGAAAATTTTAGATTCTTAATTTCCTCACAAAACTTTTAAGTAGTTTCCTTCACATTCTATACCATCCTTCAGCCCCAAGGGAATAGAACTGTCATTTACACTAAGTTAACTTTTGAAACTCCATTTCAAATTTGTAGATCATTTCCCTTCATCGAGTCCCAGGAAGAATAGAACCATGTCATTTACTATGAAGCTTGGGGCATTGAGTTGGAAAAATGTACGCCACACATCAATAGCATGGCATATAGTAAGCCTAGCAACATCCACATTCCTTAGTAGGATGTTGCAAACTATATACTCCTTGAGACTATATATAAATATGTACTCCTTGGAGTATATAGTGTAACTAATGGTTGTGCTCACAACTTGTAAAAACTAAAAAATGCCTTTCTTGTAAAAGAAGTAGGTAAGTTTACGTTGCAACCTTATACTATAAAAGTATGTTGCACGTCAAAAATCCAATAAAAATTGTATCTTGTGACGAGTTTTTAGGCAGTCTATTTTCAAGATTTATAAATGTTTATAAATTTATTTGATTTACACTGTTTTTTAAATTCTAAACTTCATAATTAAAATTAAAGTTAAAATTTCAAATCATTGTAAGATTTTCGACATCATCGGAGATATAAATCTTATTTGTATGGTATAATGTAGGCACCTTATGCAAACCCCACCCACAAAATAATAATAAAATATGCTCACTTAACCACTCTTCACAATATACCAAGGAGAATATCGTCATTCTATTTATAAACGGGGGCACTTTAGTCATCTTCCATGGAGATGAAGAGCTCTGTGTTATTAAATTACCATTTTTGACCTCGCGGCCTTTCGGGGAACGAAAGGGTGGGAATGTCCGGCGAGGTCCGAACGATTGTACTTGACGAATAAACTAACGACACGTGGCATAGATTCCTTAGATTCTTTGGCGGTTTCGAGAGAATCGTCGTCGCTGATTGCTCGTGATTCGTCCGTCAAACCACCGCTGCCCATCGCCGCATCGACTCGTCCACGAACCGCCACGTGTTATAAGAATCACGACGTCTGGTTTTTAGAGAGAGAAAGTCGGGTTTAGAGAGAGAAAGTGTGGTTCGCGGGGGATCGGCTTCGACGCGTCGCTGCCGCCAAGACACGTGGAGACGGAATCCGCGTTAGAGAGAGAATACGATGAGAAAAAAGACTAGCTTTTTAGAGAGAGAAAGGGTGGTTTTTAGAGAGAGAAAGAGGGGGGAAGAGGATAAGGATGGGGAAGAACGGGTGGGGCCCGGGATTCGATATCATAAGTTGGAGATGCTTTTAGAGAGGGAAAATGACAACTATTTACAGCCGTCAGATTCCACGAACGCCAGTATCTCTCTCTATCACTATCTTTCCACAAGCGCACCAGTATCTCTCTCTATCACTATCTTTCTCTCTTTTAAGATTCCAATTCCCACCACCATCCCTATCTCTCTCTCTCTCTCTCCGAAATGACCACTTTTACAGCCAGATTCCAATTTTCTCTCCCTAACTCATGCCACTTTCTCTCTCTAACTCTAGCCACTTTCTCTCTCTAACTCTAACAGACAAGTTTCTCTCTCTAAGACCGATTTTCTCTCTCTAAAACTCTCATCACTCCCTCACCCCCAACTCTCATTTTCTATTGCTTTCTCTCACTTTGCTTCTTTCCATAATTACCTTTTTCACTCTTTAAAAACCCAATTCTCTCTCTCACTGATTAAAATGTCTTTCTCTCTCTCTCTCTGGATGTGCCCATTTTTATTGTAAAGTATCTTTTTTTTATCACTAATCACCAGCATCTCTCTCACTAAAGAAACGCCTTTACAATTATTGAGCTCTCATCTTCGAATTCCACAGCTAATCTCTCTCTAATTGCAAACGTCTCTTTAGATGGTTCTCTCCCTTTCTATTCCTAATCTGTCTCTTTCTCTCTCTAAAAAGAGAACAATTTCTCTATATCAGTTTCTCTCTCTAGAAAGAGAACTGAAAAATCTTTCTACTTTTCTCGCTCCATTGAAACTACAAACCCCTCTTTCAAGTTTCGGAATCCGAGAACCTCTCTCTTATTCTCTTCAGGTTTGTTATATATTCTCTCTCTAACTGTCACATTATTCTCTCTCTAACTATCACAATATTCTCTCTCTAAGCATTGAGGCAAAATCGGATTCCCTTCTCTCACGTCAAAGTAAAATTCACAGATTCCACGGTATCCCATAATATGCTTTCTCAGTCATTGGATTCCAGACACGTCCTTCTCTCTCTAAGCATACACCAACCGTCTCTCTCACCAAAAAAAGGTTTTTGTGACCCTCTCTCTCTCTAGATTCCTCGCAAAACAGATACCAGTCTTCCTCTCTTCCTCTCTCTTGTTTTATTATCCTGTACCTTCTTGTGGCTCGACTCTGTGTCAAATGATGCGTAGATAAAATTAAAATATTTTTTGAGAAAGTTATAATTTAAGAAGATAAAGTCTAAAAGAAAAGTTTACATAAGGTTGCAGAATTACTCAAAAATCCTTCCTAGGTTGTTTAGATGTGGGAAAACTCTATCATTGATCATTTCGACATCGAAATGTATGAATATAAAAAAAGAAAAAAAAAAATTCGAGTTTTTGGAATAGTATATCTTACCACACATTATCTAGAACGTTTATTTTTAAGATTTTAATGTATTTATAGATCTACTTGATTTGAACTATTTTTAAAATTTAAAATTTTATAATTAGATATGAAAATAGATTCTCAAATTATCATAAGAATTTTTATATGAAAATTATACTTATGATAAAATTTTGAAGTGCGCTTTAATTTGATTGTTTATGGTTGCAACTTTATGCAAACTATAGCAAGTTCAAATCTCTTGTCAAAAGAATTATCAGATAGGTTGAAGTTTCTTTTACTCTGGTAATTTTTTTTAAAAAAAATTACTCAAATATCCGAATTCAATATTGAGAACCCTGAACAAACCGGGGAGCTAGTGCTTCACCAATTTGACCCGACCAAGAGCCCCCAATCATAACCAAGAATAATCACCATCATCATCATTATCCAAGCATAACACACAATAATACATTTCAAAATTACTAAAAATGCCTATGTCCACTCATGTTCTTGTCTCATATGCAATTTGGACATTTATGAAAATATATTTTCAAGAGGCAGATGAGTAAAATGAAAATTAAAAGAAAAAATTATTTATTTCGATTTTTTTTAGTCATTTAATGATTTGACAAGGGGTTTTGGCAAGTATAGAAAAAATCGGGCGGTTCAAATTATAACCACCCTGTTAGACAATGATTTTGGTTACCCAGTTGGGTATTAGAAAAAAATTATATAAAATCTCAAAAAATAAGGAGTTTTATTTGTAATGTATTATTTTTTAATATTTTTCATCATTTGACAAATATTGGAAATTTTTTTGGCCATTAAAACTTATTTTTATATTTTTTTTCATATTTTTTTAAAAAAATTCAAAAATACCCTTAAGCACAAATAGATTATTTAAAATCCATATTTTTCCTTAATTTTCAACTTCATTATGGATGTACTTTGTTTAATCATGCTTTAAATATATTTTTATATTTTATTAGATTTGGTTTTGTATTTTTTATTTCTTTACACATTTTTTTGATCTCCCATGACTTGCTCGGTTAGGCCTGTTGAACGGTTGGTTTATCGGTTGTGGTTTATCGATTGGTATCGAGTAATCGTTTCCAGCCCCATTTCCAGCTAACTGTACCGATTTGATTTTTCCTATAAT